TCAAATATCCACTCATTTCTTGTTTTTTTTATTAATCTTTTATTTGGAAAAGCAAGTTACAATTACTTTGTACAATCCAGCTTCCAMCACAATGGAAGTATGAGATGGAATTACATAGACCAATCCAGATGTTTTTTTGTGTGGTTTTTTTTGTGTAGTAAGCAAACATCTACAACTGAAAAGTGAGCGAGGGGTGGGTCTGATCTCATTTTTCTTACGTTAGGGGGTAAACACAATCCAGAGCATAAGTTTGCCATCGGCCTGAACCAGGGTACAACACACAGCACAACAGAATTTGTGTAACACACATATTTWGTCCACAGAGAWTACTGATTTTACATAGTTTRTCCATTTAGACCAGGTCTTAAAGAATGATTCCCTTCTACCTTGAACAGAAAAGATAACTTCTCCAGAATGTAAATGTCCTGTACAATATTGATCCAGTCCTCAACTGTAGGTGCTTCTGGTTTTAACCATTTTCTAGTGGTTGACTTTTTGCTTTCTGCCAGAAGCATTAACAGCAGTTTTTTATCTTCCAGAGTCCAATAATCAAATGAAATGTTACCCAAGTACAGGGCTTCACATTTACATGGGATTCTTTCAGTAAAGATGTTATTTAGGTGGGAACACATTTGCTCCCAAAAATCTTTAATCACCAGACAACCCCAGAAGATGTGATGATGATTTGCCCCCTTTGTTCCACAGAGTCTCCAACATGTGTCTCTGCTGCCACAATGGTTTTTCTGAACTGGAGTCACAAAATATCGGACAGTGTTTTTCCAACAGAACTGTCTCCGTGAGTGGGAGCTTGAGGTCATCCAGTGTAATGTGTTAGTTTGTTCCCAAGCTTCAGTAGAAATGGACGAGTTTCCAAGAATCCAGCATCATGTGTAACATTGACCCATGTGATATATTCAGCCTCTCYTGTAAATCCTTGTCCATTAACACTGATATTAAAAGGTATTCCTCCCACTGTTGTGCCTTCTATATCTTTCCACCCTGCATCGTRAGATGGAGAGCACAAACAGGACACTGGTCTTAACTGGGCTGCCAGGTAATAAACCTGTAGATTGGGAAGACACAGTCCACCTTTCTCTTCCTTTAACCGTAGCGTTCTAAACCTCACCCTTGCCTTTTTTCCCTGCCAAATACATTGAGAAATGAATCTTTCCCATTCCATGAAACATCTCTCTGGTATCTGGATAGGTAAACATTGAGATAGATRTAGGAAACATGGGAGAATGTTCATTCTGACCGACTCCACTCTGGAGTACAGGTTTGAGAAACGAACCAGATTCCATCTCTGTATGTCTGATTTCAGACTYGAGAGGAGGGGCCCATAGTTAACATCAAAACTCCTGAAAATATCCTTGGGCAATGTGACATATTTTATGGATTCTGCTTCCCASTWCCATTTGTACAAGCTCCTAATATTGTTCTGTGGCTTATAGTTTATTGTCAAGACCTGAGTCTTGGCAATGTTTATCTTGTAACCCGAGAGCGAACCATATTCCTTGATCGCCCCCATAAGTACAGGTAGAGTTTGAGCTGGGTTTGTTGTGGTTAATAGTAAGTCGTCTGCAAACAATGACAGCTTTTGTTCCCCTGATGTCATGTGAACTCCAGCTATGTCTGTCCTCTGTCTTATCCACTGACTTAACGGCTCTATGAAAAGGGCGAAGAGGAGCGGTGAAACACAGCATCCCTGCCTTGTACACCTTTCCAAAGTAAAGGAATCAGATAGGTCTCWGTTAATTTTYRTCCTAGCTGATGGTTTGTCAAATAAAGCTGCAATAACATCTATTATGGTCTGGTGGAACCCAAACCTGGACATAACTTTGTAAAGAAAAGACCATCTGACTGAGTCAAAAGCCTTCTCTGCGTCCAAACTCAGTACTAGGGTCTCTATTTTTTGTTGAATTACGTGATTAAAAATATGYAAGCTTTTTCTGATGTTGTCTTGTGTCTGTCTCTGTCTGATGAAGCCTGTTTGGTCCTTATRGATTATCATTGGCAAGATGTTTTCCAATCTCTGTGAAATTATGGCAGTAAATAATTTATAATCAATGTTTAATACGCTTATTGAGCGGTAGTTTCCGCATGACATCTTATCCTTTCCCTCCTTAGGTATTAGTGAAATAATTGCTTCTCACCATGAAGGAGGGATTATTTTCTTTTCCACTATATTGTTGAAAACTCTCATTAAAACAGGAACTAACTGATCTTGCATTTCTCTGTACCACTCAGAGGTAAACACATCCGTTCCTGGAGATTTCCCTCCCTTCAACTTTCTTATTTTTTTTTGCCACTTCAGTAGAAAACAAAACTGAATGTTAAGTTTCTTAATTTCTGCATCATCAATGGCTTTTTTACCAATACTTTTTAGCCAACCGGCTACAGTACATCTTAAAGTGGTTAAATCCTAATCCGTTAGATAAATCTTGGCTAGATGTAGAACAAACTCCCTTCAACTTTCTAATCACTGATCTTAGYTCTGCTTCAGTTATCTCTGATACCAACAGTTTGTTTTGCTATTCTGTAATGTCCTGATGCATCTCAGTAATCCAGGTAAAAAATCAAAAAGAAAAAAATTGTATAGGTCCTCTGGACGGGTTCTTCTTTAATGAAAAGTTTCGTCTCTTCTCCAAGAGACTTCTTCAGTCTGAGAGTTTCAGGCTAAATTCAGGCTTTTAAGCCCTGCCTCCATGTGACTGATACTCACATCACATGGCTATCGTTCACACCTAATTAACACCTATTGTTAACAGGGGGTGGAGTGATACTGGCAATAGCCGCGCTGTAGGAGGGGGACAACTGAAAACGGAGGCCCCCACCTCTGTTTAATGATGGACGGTCTTTCTTCACAAAAATGTCTTCTTTTACTCCTCTCTCAAACCAACGTTCCTCTCTATCAAGAATGAGAACATCCTCATCTCTGAAAGAGTGACCGCTGGCCTGTAAATGAGTGAAAACTGCAGAGTTCTGGCCATTAGAATTAGCTCGTCTGTGTTGGGACGTTCTTTTGAACAGTGGTTGCTTTGTTTCCCCGATGTATAACTGGTCGCAGTCCTCCTGGCACTTAACAGCATATACAAYATTGCTCTGTTTGTGCCGGGGCACCGGATCTTTGGGGTGAACCAGCCTTTGCTGTAATGTGTTTTGGGGTTTGAAAGCTACTGGGACATCATGTTTAGAAAATAAACGTCTCAGTTTCTCCGAAACACCCGCAACATACGGAATAACCACTGGTTTGGGTCTGGGTTTGGGGTCTTCATTTTCACCTGAAGGTTGCATGGAATCCTGTCTGTGTTTCCTGTCTGCTTTCAGGAAAGCCCAGTCAGGATAACCACACTGCTCCAGGGCCTGTCGTGTGTGTGATTTCTCTTTCTGCCTGGCTCCTGGGTTTGTAGGGACACTGTCTGCTCTGTGGTACAGAGTCCTGATCACTCCTAACTTGTGTTCCAGTGGGTGGTGGGAGTCAAAACGCAAATATTGGTCTGTGTGGGTGGGCTTATGATACACGCCAGTTTCCAACCGTCCTCCATCCGAAACCGAGACATCGCAATCCAGRAAYGCCAACCTGCCATTTTTTACATCCTCTCGTGTGAACTTAATATATTCATCCACMGAGTTGATGTGATCAGTGAAATGTTGGACTTCCTGGGCTTTAATTTTAACCCAGGTGTCGTCAACATATCTGAACCAATGGCTCGGTGGCACCCCTGAAAAGGACATCAAGGCTCTCTTTTCCACTTCCTCCATGTACAGGTTTGCAACAATAGGAGAAACTGGGGATCCCATGGCACACGTCTGTAATGTTGGGCAAACAGAGTTGGGAAGGGGAAGTATCTACTTGTTGTTCATTATCAATTTGGTTTGGGAGTAAAAGGTTTGGAAAAAATCTCCAAAGCATTTATGAATCTGTTCTAGGTTTGTTTCAATCCTATTTGTATGTATATTCTGTATTTTGTAAATAGTTCTATCTGCTTGTGGTTTTTGTAGTTTAAATGCTAGGAGCTTCAGAGATTTTCCCCCTGCTTCGTAATATTTCTGATTAGTAAAGAGAAGTTTCTTTTGTACTTCTTGCATGTTTAAATTATTAAGTTCTCTTTTCACCATCTCAATTTTAGATCTTGTTGCCCTCTTGAAGGTTTTGGAATGTTCTTTCTGAAGTTTTTTTTTAGTTCCACTTCCAATTCAGTTTGTTTTTGTTGTCTAATTTTATTTTCGTMGGAAGAAATTGCTATTATTTTTCCCCAGACTACGGCCTTTAAAGCATCCCAAAGTATTTCCGGACCCACCTCTTTATTATCGTTCTCTTCCAAATATCGTTTGATTCCAATTTTCATATTCTCCTTAAAGGAAGTACTATTTAATAAGTTCKTATTAAGCCTCCAGAGCGTGGATCTACTTTTTTCAGTCAGTTGAAGGGAGWTATAGATTGGGCTGTGGTCAGAAATTGGGCTCGATCTGATCTCCCAACCTTCTAATCTATGGACATCTTTTTTAAACGTGAAGAAATAGTCTATTCGTGAGTATACATTATATGAAGAGGAGTAATGTGAGTAGTCACGACTGGTTGGGTTCTTATCCCTCCATATATCCACTAATCCCAGTTCGTCCATCATATTTCTCATTCTTTTACTGATATTTTTTGAGTTTGTTTTCCCATTTGATGAGTCCAGATTTGGGTTTAACCTAATATTGAAGTCSCCGGCACAAATCATTACACCCTGACTTTTTGTTGCTGCTATTTCARGTATTTTCTTATRAAATGACCAGTCGCTACCAGGTGGGGCATATACGTTTACCAGACTTATTAGAATACCATCTATTATTCCTGTAATTAAAATATAACRACCCTCTCTGTCTTTATGTTCTGCAACATGTTCATAGTACAAGGAGCTTGAYATTAAAATCGCAACCCCTCTTCCTTTCCTGGAGCTGTGGGAAGAAAAATAGACAGATTTGAAGCCMATCTTGTTCAGTTTGRCATGTTCAGAATCATCTAGGTGGGTTTCCTGCAGCATTGCTACAGTATTTGAACTTTGTCTTTCCTGAGTTTAGATAAAACCCCCCATCTCYTAATTGGTTTATTTAGACCATTTCTATTGAACCATGAAAAAACAACATGTTCAAGCATCCAAAACGAGTCTGTTGACTAGACCTTGCTGGGCCGCTTGGAAGCAGCCCAGAAGGGAAAAACCTCCCATACTGTTACGGAGGGAGCTTACAGGTGGCAGCAGCCCAAATTAGAGTAAACCCCAAGTAAACCTTACTTACACTGACCTACACTGACCTACACTGACCCACACTGACTTACACTGACTTACACTGACCTACACTGACATACACTGACATACACTGACATACACTGACATACACTGACTTACACTGACCTACACTGACTTACACTGACCTATACTGACCTACACTGACTTCCACTGACTTCCACTGACTTACACTGACCTACACTGACATACATTGACCTACACTGACATACACTGACATACACTGACTTACACTGACCTACACTGACATACATTGACC